TCGTTTTCTACTGAAGTGACAAAGAAAAAAAAGGATTAATCTGAAGCAGGAATCTAAACTGTGCCGAGATAATCTGATTTAATCCTTAGTTTGTTGTGACCGATCACCTTTAGCTTTAAATCCATTCATTTTAACATTTTAACCGTTACGATTAAAACAAACTTACAGGTGAAACTGAACCTGTTTGTTCTAAAAAGAAAACCACACAAACACAGATTCAACATCCTCTAATCCAGTTTAATGTCCTCAGCAGAAAAATGGAACACCATAAAATTATAAAGGAAAAAACAAACAAAACAAAACGAAGGACAGAATTATGTTCTCGCTTTATACATTAACTAAATATGCCACTCTATGCTAGGGTGTGAGTAACTCAAACTGATATAAAAGGTTAAATAAACTTTTCTTTAAGAAGGTACAGAATTATTTTCCTGTTTCTCGTTAGCACTCAAAAAAACAGAAGAAACGGAGGAGAAGGGACAAACGGCCGATAATCCTCGCCGCTTTGTTTTCACCGGAGAAGACGGGAGAGAAGAAACAAGAAGTTGTGCACGAGGATTAGCATAGTAAAGTGGTGTTTCAGGGGCTTTCAACCCGAATCGAGTCCTACACAGTTTCAATTTGAAAAGAATTAAATAAAACAAAAGACAACGTTTGAGTCTCCGTCCACACGGGAAAAAAATCTACGACTTCCCGTAGATTTCCAAACATGGACACTTCAGATAACGCTGCAGACTGAACCCGTTTTTAACAGATCATAGTCTTATTTATTGTACAGGTGCTAAATGCCCAAAAAAAAAAAATAATAAATGAAGTTATTAAATAATTTTTTATGTTTAAACCAAAAAGAAGAGTTTCTGAACCATCTGCACGGCACAACGTTGGGTTGGTGGATTCAGAGCCAGGTCAGAGAGCACGGCGGTGACAAAATAAACCTTAACGAAAGGGGAAACCACTGAATTTAAGTATTCACTTCGTTTTCTGCAGCCGGAACCGACCGACGCTCTGAATCTGATGTCGAACTCAACAATCACACCCAGAAACATCCAAACAAACAGTTCTTTTTCCATTTAATTCCTCAATTATCAGTTTGTTCAGCTCAGAGGTGCACAGATACTCTAATACTGTGTACTCACCCTCAGAGTACTACAGTGCTGATGCTACTTTACGTTTAGCTGACAGAGGAGCAGCACCGTCTGGAGTTTAAACAGTTTGATTAAACAGCTGAAACTGCAGCAGGAAGCAGCTGAAGTCTCACTGAGCAGAAAAGCATCCTGGGAAAATACGGATCTGAGCTTCAAAATTTAAAGCTCCTTGGACCCATTTTCAAATAACTTTAATATGATTTATTATGTATCTGTACTCTGAAATAAATCTGAATCTTTTTGTTTATCACCGTGACATCACAGATTTGATTTAGTCAAAACGTTTTGATCAAAATAAATTTTTTGAAATAATTTGTTAAATAATTCTGAACTTTTACTTCTCTCGTCCAGCATATTTTAGCAGAACACCGCAGAGCTTCTGTAAAACGTGACTGTTTCCCTCAGCAGCCTGAGAAAAATGTGGTAAAAAGGTTGGCTTTTCTAGTGAATTTCAAAATAAGAGCCCACTATTTGACTTAAAAGTATATGGAGTTGGAAAAAGGCTTAAAAATAAAAACTATCAATTGTTTCCTGTCTTAAATAATCACTTATTGTAGAAAACTGGAAGAGTTGCTAGTTAGTTTCCTTTTCTGGTTCTTTATATAAATATTTTATTTTCAGGTTATTGTGGGTTGAAGACAGAGGAACCAAAGAGCCACATGACCTCAGGTTTTTCTACAATAATTTCTGG